AGTGTCACCTCTCTCGGCGTCTGTTCTGTGCAGTGAGCGGCAGAGAAGCAGCGCATTCAGTTGGCCGTACCACAGCCGACTCGTCAATAAATAAGTACAAAACAGCGTTTCCAAGCACCTGTCGCTTACTGACTGTTTGGAATTATAAATATGAACATAGTTTGTCTATTAATATAATGCAATTATTATTTTTTTTTTTTGTTACTCAGACGCAGGCAGTGCGCTGCATGAGACAAAAAAGTAATATAGCCAAAACCACCGCATAGCCGCTCAACATGCATCTACTGTAAATGCATGTTGATTTTATCAGACGATGTCACGATTATAAATGAGAGTGACTCCTGGTTAACTGGTGGTTAATGTATAAATGGGTCGTGTTTCGTCACTATTTAGAGTGGAATTTTTCTACAATATTCACTCATCATGACAGTAAAATAGGGCATAGGGCAAAATAGGGCAAGTCAATCTACTGCAGTAGCCTATTTCCTCTCTCAATCAGTAGAAAATGTGGTTTACACCCGGTCATGCATGAAAAAAATAATAAATAAATACCGTCATATACCATGAAACCGGTATAATTGTGAAAAATACCGTGATATTAATTTTTGGTCATACCGCCCACCACTACTGCCTCCTTCATTGCTGCTGTAGTGTTTCTGTCAGAGTCACACAAACAATGTGGCATTCATTACTAAGGCTGATATTTCTATGATGTTTTAGAATCCATGGAAATCCATGGAATAAATTCAGTTAAAATTTCACTCTTTTTTTTTTAACTGAAGGGAATTATGCACAGATGTCAAATTATTTTTTAATAAATTCCAAAGGTGTTTTGTAGGAATGCTGGGTGATCTGAAGAGGGCCGCTCTGACAGCATATAGTATGTTTACATTATCCTGTTTATGCTGCTACATTTTTTTAATTTTACAACTAATGAAACTTGGGATTTTGTTTGAGTTGAGAAAACCTCTTTTTTTTTTTAACTGAAGGGAATTATGCACAGATGTCAAATTATTTTTTAATAAATTCCAAAGGTGTTTGTAGGAATGCTGGGTGATCTGAAGAGGGCCGCTCTGACAGCATATAGTATGTTTACATTATCCTGTTTATGCTGCTACATTTTTTTAATTTTACAACTAATGAAACTCGGGATTTTGTTTGAGTTGAGAAAACTGTGTGTGAATTAAAAAGATGATAAAGGCAATGGTCATAGTTAAGGTTACATAATTGTGAATGATAACTCTGTAATTTAAGTGTCACTAGCTGTCACTATGGATTATTTTGGTAATCGAGTAATCAGGCGATTTTTAGTAATCCGATTAGTAATCAGAGTAATCTGTTTTTTGTTTTTTTTCAAATAGAAATTGCAATGAAAACAATTGGCATATTTGAAAACGTATCAATTTATAGTGCCAAAGAGACTTGGGGCCAGATTTACTAAACAGCAAATTAGCTCAAGAGCGCAGCTGACCTATCGGTAAGCCCCGCCCCCCTTAGTTACTGTTGCTCCCTCGGACAAACAAACGGAGCTGCTGAAAACCTTGTCCCACGATGTTTTTGAACAATTTTGGACACAGAAGGGCCACCATTCAAGTGGAATTAAATATACCATGGAGGGATATATAAAATGTTTTAAAATAAATATGGTGGGTAATTCGAAGTGAGGGTTTACAGATCACGTTTTTGAATAATTTTGGACACAGAAGGGCCACCATTCAAGTGGAATTAAATATACCATGGAGGGATATATAAAATGTTTTAAAATAAATATGGTGGGTAATTCGAAGTGAGGGTTTACAGATCACAATGCAAGCGGGAGAAGTCTCATATTACGGTTGTCATGATCGCGGATGACAACATGCAGGATCAACACTGTTCATGTACTGCAGAGTACGATTAAATTAATTTACATTTAACCAGTTAAATATAACTAAATAATAAAAGGCACTGAAATGTAGACCTTCGTTTATGTGTTTTTGCCCTACACTGTGCATGACGTGAGAACAGTTTGCTATTTAGGTTTGTACGTTAACATGGTACTCACTAACTTCAACGTTAGCTAGTTTTAGCCAGAGATACCTTGCTAAAGCACAAGATGACATTAATGTTCTGCTTGAGCAGATGAAAATTGTAACTTAATGAGTGTATGACAACAAGAAAATGAACAGTTTTTTCTTCATTGGGATTGGGGTTGAATGCTTAGGGACATTTTGCTCTGTTTTGGTTGGGTTTAGGAAATGTAATAAAATCAATTCTATTGCCTATCCTCTCAGGATACCTGGAATCAGTGTTAGAAGTACCCCTAGCACATCGTTTTTCCATTTTTGCAGCATAAACACCATCAAACCGATGCAGGCATCGGAGTTTCCAATGTTTCTCTATGGCTCTAAAACCTAAAGATGTCCGAGTTCCGCTCCCCGTGCAACTGATACTCGACTGCCATTGGCTCATCTGCGTTCAAGGGGAGGGGCTTACCGATAGGTCAATTCTAAAACAGCACAAATGGGCATGGAAATTTCTGCGGGTGTTTTACTGACAACGCGCAAATTAAAGAACACAGACACGACATCTCATTTACATATTGACCAACGCAATATACCAAGTGCAGCGCAAATTAGCATAGTCACAAATAAGGTGCAGATGCGGGTGATCTACTTACGACACAGGTGCAAAATAGTTGAAGACATACTTTTTTGGGTGTTAAATAATGGCGCAAATACCAGTAATTTGACGAGCGCAAATGTTAGTAAATTGCGTTGCGTGATTGTTTTTAATACTCTCCTCCCATAAATTTTGCATCTGAAAGGGAAACTCCTACAAATGCATATACAGTAAGGTCAGGAGCAACAATTACTGAGTCCATGCCTTTTCAGCACTAATTCTTCACTGCTCGTTAGTAGTAAGTAAATACTGACAGTACTATTTTAATGCCAAAAGACGGTTTGCGCTGGTGCAAGCTGTTAGTTTAGTTATTATTTATTTATTAGTGGTTAGTTAGTAGTAGTTAGTTAGTTAGTTATTTACAAGTACTCCAATTTAATTGAGTAATCATGATTTAGTTTATGAACATTCAGTGCAGTGTGAACAGTTGCTAATTATCTTGTTGGTCTTTACAGGCAGGAAAACAGGAAATTCTTAACGACAGGAAGGACACAGAAGCATGTTGTATGTTGTAGTTATTTGTAGTGACTTTACCCTCTGCTCTTTCTTGGCTTTAATAAAACCTGTTCAATCCCATCACTATCACTGCAGCCCGTTAGCACTGTGTATCCACCAAGGAGAGAGGATTTGCATCTTTATTTTCAGTTTTGTTTATCAGTTCTTCCTTGTTCCGTTCCCCTCATTACGTTTGTTACAATAAGCAGATTAGCTGTGGCTGGCAAATATTTTCTCGTTTTTTCTTTTAAAAGCAGTTTGCCTTAAAAGTTTATAATCTTTAAACGGCATGTTGAATGTCCTCAGAGGTCTGGAGTCAGGGAACAGACCTTCCGAGTGAAAATCCTGTCCAAGTCGTAGTCAATTAATAAAGCTCAGAACACCAGACATTAAAGATCCTGCTGAAAAGACCATGTTATACTAACACGACTAGCTGTTGGTTTTGTTGACCAGCACAACACAATATATGCTTGTCTTTTCCACAAATCCAAAGGTTGAACATTCCTCCGTTTCTGAGAGGTCGCAGACAGCCTAAATATAGCGTGGTTGGTGTTTCTAGATTGAATCTGTGAGTGTGCATTTTATACTGAAGATATTTCCCTACCATTCACTGCTATGGAGTATGAGAGCTGCTATTAGCCTAGGCTGGATAATTGCAGGTAATAACAGTGTAGAAAGAACAAGTCAGGGGCAACAAGACATGCTTATGGCATTTGAGAGAGGGAGACAATAGCAGCTTTTAAAGAAAGGTTAGACGGTTGCATGACCTGCTACTGTGTGGGAACCCTGGGGATGACCTTTTCTCACCCACCTGTCATTACTTTACATTAACTTAATTTATCTCTGCCTTCGCATACAATAATACAGCAGTTCAGCACACTGCTTGTGTGCAGCATGTAGTACATTGGCAGTGAAAATAGTGAGTGTCCTGAAACTCAGTAGCAACTCTGAGCCAAAACCTCGTAAGCTGCCTTGAAAGTGCATAGGTGCACTTATATATGCATATACCTATAGTGCATATATATATACATGTATATGTATATGTACTTATATAGTGCATATAACAGTGCATATGCTATAACAACATTAGCATGTTGCTAAGCTAATCATTTAATGCTCCTCATGGACATCAAAATGAAGGTTTTTGTGTCTTAGTTCTTGCATCGGATACATGATGTTCATAGTGAGTTTCGTAGTGGTTAATGTTTTGTGGTATGTGTGTATTCTTAGCACAACTTTCATTCTGTTATTCTGATCTCTCTGTGACTTCTTCCCTCAGATGAACCGTCTCACATATGTCAGCTATTAGACTGCCAGCTGACAGTCCGCATGGCAGTCTGCAGCTCAGAAACCCAGATTCATAGCATTGGATAACTTATGACCCAAGAATGCCCCACACCTTTAATCTATCTATCAGAGAACCTTCATCAATCATTGTGCAGCATTTGAAGACTTTTTAGAAATATAAAGGCCCTTCTAAAAGGAAGTGTTGTAAGTTATGTCATTTTGGTTTGATTGAACGGCAGCAAACAATGTATCCTTTGTGAAGAAGACAGTCCCAGGATGCATTGGACCAATATTTGTGGGGAAAAATGCATTGTTGAGCATTAAAGGCTTCTTTCAAAACTATTAAAAACCTTACCACCCCAAACTTTTGAAGGATAATGTATATCAAAAAATGTTGAATAAAAACAATTGTCTGTGGCTATTATCAGTTACGATACTACCTTAGAAGGCTGTGAGGTGTCTCACTAGGATTTGGAACGGTGATGACGTTCTCTCTTGAGTTTTAGATAGAAGATTCTAAAACTCTTCTATGTTGGAGCATTCCAGCTGTTTCTCTGAGGATTAGGATAATGAGAAATACTGTAACTCGGGGTAGTGTGTTAGAAAGCACATCCACCTCAGTGCATAATGCTAGTCAGTAAGGTGTAGGATAATTACTCTGTGCTGTGCATGGAGTCATATCATCAGAGAGAATTAAAGCCCTCATGTTCTCTGCAGGTGGGCTCATGCAGCCTAAGCTCCTGAAATATGATTGTGCACACATTCTTTTTTTTGTAACACTCAGTATAGAGGATTTTAAATCCATAGTGTGATGGTTTGTCCACTGACAAGGTGATATTTGAGTTTTTTTGATTGCAGAAGTGGTAATTATGGCTCCCAACTGCCTCCATATTTGTAATATTCATTACATTTGTGCATTTGGTAGATGCTATTATTCAAAGTGAGTTGTGTTGCATTCAAGATTTTATCAGACATTTTATCAGTTGCATGCCTTCGCTGGGAATTGACAACTGGCAATGCTGCTTATCTGACAACTGGCACCATCTACTTAATTATTATTATTATGCACATCCACCTCTGCATAATGCTAGTCAGTAAGGTGTAGGATAATTACTCTGTGCTGTGCATGGAGTCATATAATCAGAGAGAATTAAAGCCCTCATGTTCTCTGCAGGTGGGCTCATGCAGCCTAAGCTCCTGAAATATGATTGTGCACACATTCTTTTTTTTGTAACACTCAGTATAGAGGATTTTAAATCCATAGTGTGATGGTTTGTCCACTGACAAGGTGATATTTGAGTTTTTTTGATTGCAGAAGTGGTAATTATGGCTCCCAACTGCCTCCATATTTGTAATATTCATTACATTTGTGCATTTGGTAGATGCTATTATTCAAAGTGAGTTGTGTTGCATTCAAGATTTTATCAGACATTTTATCAGTTGCATGCCTTTGCTGGGAATTGACAACTGGCAATGCTGCTTATCTGACAACTGGCACCATCTACTTAATTATTATTATTATTATTTATTTATTTTTTTTTGCTTGGAGTTACACTTTGTGTGATAGCAATTGTCTTTTTTTTTCTCCACCAGGAGGAGATTTTATGTTCTTTTATTTTTTACTTTTTAAAGATTGTTTCCAAGATTTTACAGATTTTATCATGGTTTTATCCATTTTTACAAATCAAAAATAGGACATTTGAGTCTGAAAAGTGTCTCATTTGCCATCTAAAAGCAGGCTTACAGAGCCTGATGCTTCCAAATTAAGGCAAGATCGTTGGCTTTCAAACAGTAAATGAGTAGTAAATTGCAGTTTGTTCAATCTCTGTGTATTTTTATGTGTGCGTGTGTGTCTGTGTGTGTATATGGAACGTCAGGTTGTACTTTTTTGTTGGTCGAGGCTTCTTCCCTTGTGTTTGTTTTGGTTATTTTTTGTGAGGCTGTTGTATAGCCTACACTACTTTTCAAAAGTTTTTTTTTTATTTTATTTGGCAAGGTTGCATTAAATTGATCAAAAGTGAAAGTAAATGCATTCATAATGTAACAAAATATTTCTATTTCAATTATCTTTTCAATTTTCTGTTTATCAAAGAAAAAAAAATCATCAGTTGCATGCCTTCGCTGGGAATTGACAACTGGCAATGCTGCTTATCTGACAACTGGCACCATCTACTTAATTATTTTATTTTATTTTTTTTTGCTTGGAGTTACACTTTGTGTGATAGCAATTGTCTTTTTTTTTCTCCACCAGGAGGAGATTTTATGTTCTTTTATTTTTTACTTTTTAAAGATTGTTTCCAAGATTTTACAGATTTTATCATGGTTTTATCCATTTTTACAAATCAAAAATAGGACATTTGAGTCTGAAAAGTGTCTCATTTGCCATCTAAAAGCAGGCTTACAGAGCCTGATGCTTCCAAATTAAGGCAAGATCGTTGGCTTTCAAACAGTAAATGAGTAGTAAATTGCAGTTTGTTCAATCTCTGTGTATTTTTATGTGTGCGTGTGTGTCTGTGTGTGTATATGGAACGTCAGGTTGTACTTTTTTGTTGGTCGAGGCTTCTTCCCTTGTGTTTGTTTTGGTTATTTTTTGTGAGGCTGTTGTATAGCCTACACTACTTTTCAAAAGTTTTTTTTTTATTTTATTTGGCAAGGTTGCATTAAATTGATCAAAAGTGAAAGTAAATGCATTCATAATGTAACAAAATATTTCTATTTCAATTATCTTTTCAATTTTCTGTTTATCAAAGAAAAAAAAATCACATTTTCCACAATAATTTTAAGCGTTTTCAAAATTGATGATGATAAACTTTTCTTGAGCACCAAATCAGGATATTACAATGAATTTTGAAGGATCATGTGAAGACTGCTGAAAATTCAGCTTTGCCATCATATTCCAAAAATATATATATAAAAATATATAAAATATATAAAAATAAAAATTCCAATGTTAAATTGTAATAATATTTCACAATGTTACTGATTTTACTGTATTTTTGATCAAATAAATGCAGCTTTGGTGAGCATAAGAATGTTCTTAAAAAATCTACCAAACCCCAACTTTTGAACTGTAGTGTATGTACAATTATTTAAATGATTCCGCTACACTGACTGTGATTGGTTGTTCACAGTTGGGCTCCTGTGTGTGTGTGTGTGTGTGTGTGTGTGTGTATGTGTGTTTACAGAACAGGCCTCCTGCAGTACAGGGCTCCCAGCACCAAAGCCACTCTCCAGCATGTATGAACACAGCCCTGATGAGCTCCCCCTGGGTGAGATGGAAAAACAGGGGCCGTGCCATAACAAATTCTCTCTGTTTGTCCAGAACGGATGCGCTGCACTGTGTTGCATCTTCATTTTACACATTTTCACTTGTTGTTTTCAGAAACATCAAATGCTTAGATGAAACAGATGACCATCCTGCTTTGATCGCATGCAGAGCAAACTATTTAGAACAGGGCTGTCCAAACTCGGTCCTGGAGGGCCGGTGTCCTGCAGAGCTTAGCTCCAACTTGCCTCAACACACCTGACTGGAAGTTTCTATGCCTAGTAAGAGCTTGATTAGCTGGTTCAGGTGTGTTTAATTAGGGTTGGAGCTAAACTCTGCAGGACACCGG